ATAAACAATGGAAAATGGCAGCCATTTTAAATTGTAATAGCTCAAAAATGTGTGAAATATTTAGTTAAAAACTGTTGTTGTCATTGTTATGAGTGGATTTCCAATTGAATACTGCATTTTAATGACATAAATTTACAATATTAGTGACAATTTTTGGAAAAATTGGCAGCCATTTTGAAACTGCTGGCAACCCCCCTTACGTTTGAAAAAAAAATGTTGCACATAACTTTTTTGATTTATCTATGTCTACTCTACATCATATCCAATTTTTAAAAAATATAGCAAAAAAAAAAAATGCAACCAACCAAGTTTGCTGGACTACAGTATAAGCTCTACAAATCCAATCAGCAATTCAACTAAGTAATTCATTTGACCTAATATTGCTTCCAAAATCTGAATCAACTATGTCTGTAAAGGCATGCATGCAATAGTGTACTGTAAAAATATACTGCTCTAAACTTTTATTACCAAATGGTAAATATGATGATAGACATTTGATCCTCATTTTTTTTTTATAGTTGAAACCCAATGTTTAAAAGTAGGGCCTACCGTAAACATTGGATATTATAATTTTTTCCATATAAATTAAAATAACAAAAATACACAGAAGAGAAATAACATGTTGTACAACTCCTGTATCCACAATCAATGAATAAATGAAATTAGACGTAAAAGAACATATAGAATGGTATAAGTCATAAATTATATTAGATAACAACTTTCATCATTGGTTGATTCCACTCTTCATGGTATTTTGCCCAATTCCTACGCATGCATATATTTATATTTACACTTTTGTGAAACAGTTTCCAAAATTTGTTATCGCATGCCTCCTGACACGAACCGTATACAGTGGCGGATTCAAGGGCGGCCCAGCTGGCCCGCACCTCCCTCCACCTTAAATTTTTTTAAATTGTAAAAATATTGGAGAAAAAAAAATTACATTCAAATTTAATGACTGAGTGCCATTTCTGGCCATTTGGAGGTGATGTATTGTAAATTGTTGTACTTCAGCTCCAACATGGTGGGTCTGAGGTGGTATAGAACCTCAATCTTTCAAGATCCCTCCCTCTGCCCCCTCTATTTCAAATTTTTGGATCCGTCACTTGTATGTGAATTATTTGTTTCAGAAACATTTGAGTGATAGTAGACCATTAACTACTAAGCTAAGTTTTTTAACTAGTACAGTATATTAAAATTAATAGTTGATAAAGATGACACAGAACTAGAGGCTGTATAAAGACCTACAAACAATTACACGAACATATAAAAATAAAACTCACCTGATTATCTGCGGCGACTTTAATGCGAAAGTAGGTAAATACTGTATCAAGGTAGAGAAAACTGTCTATGGCAGCATTCGAGAGGAGTTAAAAATAATACCGGTCAAGCACTCATTGATTTTTGTGACACCAATAAACCTCTTCGTTACTAATTGTGCATTCAAACATCCCGCTAGACACATTACAATATTCTCATAACAAAGGAAATGCAGCGACGGACATTTACCTATAATCAAATCAACTACATTATTTGTAACAACAGATATAGGGGATTACTTAAACAACTCAAGATCATACAGTGGGACATTGAATTATAGCAATCATAGGATTGTGATTACTAGTTTTTAACCATTCAAGGCATCGAATTATAAACAGCGTCTCAAACGACAAAACAACTTAATATTTGCATGTGAAAAACTAACAAATAGCGAAGATTCCATTAGGATTATACTGTACAAGGAAAAACTAATAGAAAGTCTCAACCAAGTACAGACAACATGTTCCTAATCAACCAAGCAAAGCAATATAAAAGAATGCATTAAAATCACCGCTGAGAATTTAATTGGCAAACAAATCGTAAAAATAAACAGAAAGTTTGATCAAGAAATACAACTTTTATCAGTGAAACAAAAAGAACTACAACTACAAATTAAAAACTGCAACGAGGCTAATAAAAAAATGGCTTTAAAAAAGGAAATAACGCGCTACATAAAATTAAAAAGCGAATGACAGACATACGAAACCAAGAAGTTCTAGAATCAACCAAACTAATGAGAGTGCTAGTAGATGTATGTTTCAAGCAGTTTGAGAAATGAATCGGAAACCATATGAAAACCCAAAGATTCTTTATGGCAACGGAAAATGGATCGCGGACATAGATAAAGTAAATGATGCAGTAGGTGAACACTTCAAACAAAAATTCCATGACGAAAATAAACTATATGTTAATCCATTTGAAGGAAACGCTAGACCACTTAAAAATGAAATCAAAGAAGAGGAGATTATTAAACAAAGTTTAAAACAACTATAACAATAACAGAGCGGCCGGCGAAGACATGATAGCAGGAGGACTTCTTAAATACGGTGCGGACATACTTGTCCCTGTTATGGTGGACATATTTAATAATGTATTTAGAGCTAGCTTAAACACCTAATATAAATAATAGGACACTAATTGTACTACATAAACCAGGTAAAGAAAAAGGACCAATCAAAAATTTAAGACCAGTCATATTGTTGAACACAATTATTGTAGGAAATGTCTATCAATAAATATCAAGAATTACATGGACAAAATCGACAACTACCTACACATCAGCCAAAGCAGATTTTGCAAAGGTAGAAGTACTAGTGACGTGTTATTTTCTTACAAATGGCTCATAGCAAAGACATTTAAATACAAGATGGAAATACATATAACAGGCATCGACTTTTCAAGTGCGTTTGATACTACCCACAGAGACGAACTTCTAGAGATTCTAAAGGAAATCTACGAAGATGAACACCGCATAGTCAGATCTCTACTTAGCCAGACAGGACTTACAGTAACGTATGTATCAAAGGTGCATCTGAGATATTCTCACTAGAATCAAACATCGGAACACCGCAAGGCGATAGTCTGAGCCCTATCCTATTTATAGTCAGTATCATTAACCGCTTTCACATTTTATGGATAAGAAAGGATCTCACTCTTCTAGTTTAAAGTAAACAATACAATGGCCAATTATAATCAGAAACAAAATTAACAAAATACTAGAAAGCAATATATCAAAGTTTTAGTGAAATACAAAAAATAATTGCTGCGAAGCAGCCAATTCATATTCTTGACAGCAATATGACCTCTGAAAGGTCATTGTTTGTCCAAAAAAAACGGCCTAAGACGACTGAAAAGCGGAGTTTCCTTCTTTCGTTCTGCCGGGTAAAATCAATATACTTTAGGCGACGTTTGTAGACTAACCTACTCGTACCAACGTCTGCATGTTGCGCTAGCCTTATCCTACTCTAGGCCTAGACTAGCTAGGATGGTATAGGCCTAGCCTTGAAGGGACGAAGGTCGCCCAATGAAAACAACGTCGCTCTTTGATAGCTAACATTGTCTATTTAACATCACAATAATTCATTATTAGACCTATAGTTGTTTTTTGAATTGTACTCCACAAATCTCAGCCGATACCTCGCACAAATCGTTAACGTCTCGTATCTATTGTCGTGACGTCATGGCTCACTGGCTCACACTTGTAATGTCTCGCACTTGTGATCAAATAACACGTTGGCTCGCACTTTGGCAACACTCTTTGGCAGTCAACTCGCCCCTAGAAAACCCGCCCTTGGAAACTTGCCCCATAAAAAAATGTACGCTTCCTAGACCATGCAGTCTTCAAAATAAAAATTGTAACCTTTGGTAATCAACTACATTTTCCACATACATAGAAATTTTTGAAACTTTATTTAAAAAAACCTAAACCATAATTCACCACTACAGACACTTTTTGACAAAAAGGAAAAATTACAACTTTGTTACCCAATGAGAAGTGTTCTAATATAGACAATGGGTCGTGTCTCATATTATTTGTTATATTTTTATTATTCATTATTTTCACTTGACTCGCATAAATAATTTGTTCGAAGAACATTTATATGCAGTTGTACTTCGCAGCACTTCACTTGCAATTTGCAATTTTTAGTAATAAATATTATAAAAAAACATTTAACAATAATTGATGTTTGATCTTTTGATAGTTTGGTGGTAATGGCAACCAAGTCGGCATGGAATATTCGTTCTTCAGAGGCAGCTAAGAATACCGTGAATCCTATCCGTATTATCGTTGATGGCATGAAACTAGAGCCAAACCCTAAAAAACATCTCATTTCTCTATCTATTGGTAATTATCCTGTTAATAAAATTTGCTATGTACAGTATTTGTGTCTACTAATATTATTGAGTATGTTGGTTCCTATTTTTTTTTCTGTCTGCTTGAATTAAGGTTTATTATGTTACAGTCTTCAGCAAAATCGTAGATGTGGTTGGATCTTTGCTATATTAAACCTAGAGATTTTAAGTCATTTTTTTTTTCTCATCATCCATCTTTAGTATCCAAATATTTGGAGATAGAATAGTTAAAATTATGCTTTCATATTAAATACTTCTTTAGTATTTTTTTTGGTTTCTGAAGACTTGGTATAAAATTAATTAGTTAGTTCTGAATTCTAACACTATTCTGTAAACCCTCTCAGATATTAGGGAGCTTCCGATTTGTGCGACGACGCGGCACTACACAGAATCACTCATGCGTGACCGTCCTACCTATCGTCCTGCATTCTCTGTATATGTAGATTTGGCCAAATTGTGTTCCAGAATCTGCTCGACGAGGTGACCTTAACGTTCTCGCATGCGCAGATGACATTTTTATGACGTCATTACGTTCTACGTCCTACCGTTATCGTGCAATCAAAAGCTCCTTTATTTACTGTAGGTACAGTATAACTTATTCTCATGCATTTTGTTTTTATATTACACTTTACAGGTGACCCGACCAAGTTTGGTAATCTTCCACTTGATCCATGTATTACTGATGCAGTACACGATGTTATAGACGTCTACAAAAATAATGGCTACTCGCCATCTGTAGGTAAGTAAACATTTTTAGGTATATAACTGAGAAATTACAAATCTTCAGGGTTATATAGAAACCTAATGGTGGGTGGTGGATATTTTCATAGTGTGTGGGTGATTACACTACAGAGTCACTGGATTTTAAGAATGGGAAACAGGGCTAATAAATGTGGGTGGAAGGCCATGAAATTTGCATTAGACTTGGGGGCCCCGTCGACCTCTCTACTCACCATAATGTACAGTAATTGTGTTTGTGTGACAAGCAGAATATATCTATAGCCTGCAAGCAACTCTACTCCCTTACTCTACTCTAAGACTTAAGACTCCTCTGGAGAAAACACCCTCACATCACCTTATAGGAAGAACGGCTTGCAAATCCACCTCAGAATTTTGCAATGGAAATAATCCTGATGGACACCGTCCTGGAGCCGATAACAACTGGGCCGCAAGGAAGTGTCGCAAAAGACTTAGAACTGGTGGTAGGTCTCTCCAAAGTCACGTAAATGGGGATATTTTACCAACCCAATCATCTGTGACAGTGGAAATGAGCCTCAGACCATGCAACATCTCTTGCAGTGAGGCATACTTGAGGATGCCTGAACCCTCGCCAGTCAGAACCATAAGGCAAAGAAGTGTGTCCAGCTATTACTAGGTAACATTTAGTGGTGTGCTTGGACTCGATAGAAGAAGAAATCTACTCCCCACAGGTCATTCCTAATTCGGTAGACACGTTTAGCATCAATTTACATTCCACATTCTTTTAAACAAAATGTACTGGTGTTTTTACAATAATGTAAAAGAGTTGTGATGGCTCTTCTCATTGCTCAAATCAGTTCACTGTCCTTGTAAATATATTATTAGAAAACATCTACCTGTAAACCCAATTATTCATCCAGGTGTAAAGTATTATATAGCTTTGGTTAACTTTTAGTTTAGATAATAATATAAAATGATAATGATAGTTTTAACTAAAGAGAGTTCCCACTCCCGTATTGAGGAGAAAAAAAACTATTCTTCGGGAAGGAAAATCGCAATTTGTCGGGAAGAAAAAACAAAGAAAAAACAATTTGTATGGAAATAAATTTCTATGTAATTTCTAAAGTAAAACTAAAATAGTTTAAGCCTTCCAAATCTCTAAATTGTTGGAGAATTTGGAAGGGTTCTGAGATGCCCCTGGCCCTGTCTGTCATATGCTCCCATCTGAAAAATCAACTTTACTCACAGGGAAGATGGCTTGCTTTACATTTTAAAATGTCTGGGTCTGTACCATGGTACTTAGTCAAATTACTGGTAGTAGTCTTATTTTTTATGTCCCAAAGTAAATAATGATTTTTTAAATTTTGTATCTCAGTGATAAAACATCCTGAACAAGGTTTGTTGTGTCTGTGTTAATAATATGGAGTCGGAATATTTGCCTGAAATTTAAGGTCACATGGTTATTACAACGCTTATATTACAAAAATTTTATAATTTTCAATGTTAGTGGTTGAAGAGTACTGTATTTGTGTTAATAATGTAGTGAAACACAAGTATAGAAAAAAAAATATGGAAAGATAAATGGCAACTAATAAAGAAACAATCTTTTAGTCCCAAAGTACAGTAAATGATTTGTTTATTTTGTATCTTAACGATAAACATAACAAGAGGTTTGTTGTGTCTGTGTTTATAGAGTTGGAATATTTGCCTGAAATTTTAAAGTCACGTTGGATTGTTACAATGCTTTAAACTGGTTTCAGCTTAACCTTGCACTTCAATCTTGCTATCTTAGAGTAACGTCACGTTAGAAATATTTTCTGATACTGAGAACAGGCATTGATGAGAACACAAATGATTACATCACAAAGGTTTGTACTTTTCAACAGCCATGCATACGAAATTAACCAAATTTTTACCTATTAAAGCCAGTGATGTGCATAAAATGAGCTAAATTGACCTTTAATCGCTATAATGTGTCTACAGTTATAGTGGCCATAATAGTTAATATTTTGTACCAGTATAAATGCTTGCCTACCATCTGATTTTCAGTTAAAATATTTATTCTATTCAAGAATAGCCACACAGTACAGTATAGGCATTGCATTAAAAACATATGTTTCTGATATCATTGCAGTTGCAGAAACTGTTTGAAGAGGTGATCTAATATTTTTGGTTATAATATAAAAGTGTATAGTATATATTTTGCAATGCAGGTTTAGCTGCTCAACTTAGACCAGCAATAAACATTTTTAATATATGCTAAATTTTAAGATGATAATTTATTATTGATAATTTTTATTATTGATAAATTAAAGGGGCTCAAGCTCGATTAGCTTTGGCTATTTTTCTTGGATCCTATTGCATGCTATTGTACCTGTATTCTTTTTGTTCTTTTGTATGCAATAAAGAGAAATAAAGAATTTATTTGAATGATCATTGGCAATAACCTAGGCTTAAAATTACTGAGTTTGTGAATTTTTGTGTTTCATATAGTGTTTGTGTCATTCCATGCCAACTCAACACAGGGGTTTAGCCAGAAATATGAAAAAGGCCTTTCAAAATGGAAGCCAGTGGGTGTGGCCCTGAGTCGATGTTCAGGCCATGCCCATTGGCTCAGTCATGTATTAATTAGCATGGAGGTATAAAAATATTTTTATACCTCCATGATTATAACCAGAGTGTTATGAACACCAACAATATTTTGTCGGGGAAGCGAATCTCAAGTATTGTATTTGCAGAGCCTCGTGCATGCGTTGTAGGCAACTCAGAACCGTTACAGATTTGGGAATCCCCACCGAATACTGGTATAAATACAATGTACATTCAATCAATAAAGGTTGTTTAGAGAGTTCATTGATCATGGTTCTCTTCTTTTTTTTTTTTTGTGAAATATATTCAATAGAAAATTTACCTCATGTTACAAATGCTCAATTTTGAGTACTGTACTCATTTGATTTTTACAAGAACAGGAGTGGATCCAAGGGGAAGGCCATTGGAGCTAGACCCCCTTTCTCCCCAAATAGAAAAGAAATGAATGGAAAACGATCGGGGAGTCACGGTATTCAAAAACACTAATTTTGATTTAAAGTCCATATACTGTACTGTCTATGGTCAAGCATTTCTTAAACAAAAATTTCAACACCACACCCACTTTGTACTCTATAAAAAGCAATTTGTAATGAATTTCTGTGAAGCATTTAAAAGTAAAGCAATTTGTCGTGAATTTCTATCAAGCATTGTAAAAAGCAGGCCTGAGATGTAGTTAGCCACCATGTAAGCTACCTTAGCATTTCGCACCATCAATTTGTATCACTGTATATAAACACTATTTAAATAGCCATCATAACCTTCACACTCAAAAAATACCTAATTATATGGATCATTTAATTTCCCTGACAGGAAAGTGAACTTCTAAGTTATGAATGTACCTTCAAAAGTGCACTCACAATGGACTTTTCCAAGTGTCAATCAACCATAATTGACCAATTAGAACAGGGCCAGAGATATGCGCGTACTACGTATTTTGCGTATGTTTTTACACTGTCGTTTTGTGGGACATACAGTATGCAACAATATCCAAGCAGCGGACTCAGCGGAAAGGTCCAATTACCTATTCTGCTCCATTTTCTCGCAATTGGTGTGTGGGTGTTACAATAAATACTGTATTGGACAAATTAATTTACTGTATTGTACTGTAGGTCATTTAATTCTACTACAGCAAAAGCGTAGTATGTTTTATAAATTTGAATATTGGAGGTTTAATAGAGTATTTGTGTTTACTGTAGTGCTATAAACAATATAAATACAAGTAGAGAAAAACAAAATATGTGAAGATAAACAACACTATTAAATTTAATTTTCACCTATCGAATCAGCATTTATACTGCATGATTATAGTTGTAGTTTATTATTTATTTACTGGTTTTGCTCACATGCAACCAGGAAATCTATTGGAAGAGACAAAGAAAAAGTCCCCCAAAACCCTATGTTTATGTAGTTTAACACAATAGTTGGTTGTCACGGAACAAGACTAAAAGTACATGAAATAATAATAGAATAATAATAATAATAATATCCTCTTTTGCATTTTTGGGATCCTCAATGACTATCAACACTTGAGATCACCAGATTCAGATAATACACTGTAGATATTTTTTTTTTTTTTTGGCAGGGAATGAAGAAGCTCGGGCAGCTGTTGCAAAATATTACAGTACAGATACTTCCCCTTTAACCTCTAAGGCTGTCTCTTATACACATCTAGATGTGTATAAGAGACAGATTTTGAGTATGTTTTTACACTGTCGTTTTGTGGGACATACAGTATGCAACAATATCCAAGCAGCGGACTCAGCGGAAAGGTCCAATTACCTATTCTGCTCCATTTTCTCGCAATTGGTGTGTGGGTGTTACAATAAATACTGTATTGGACAAATTAATTTACTGTATTGTACTGTAGGTCATTTAATTCTACTACAGCAAAAGCGTAGTATGTTTTATAAATTTGAATATTGGAGGTTTAATAGAGTATTTGTGTTTACTGTAGTGCTATAAACAATATAAATACAAGTAGAGAAAAACAAAATATGTGAAGATAAACAACACTATTAAATTTAATTTTCACTTATCGAATCAGCATTTAAATTGCATGATTATAGTTGTAGTTTATTATTTATTTACTAGTTTTGCTTTCACATGCAACCAGGAAATCATGTGGTCTATTGGAAGAGACAAAGAAAAAGTCCCCCAAAACCCTATGTTTATGTAGTTTAACACAATAGTTGGTTGTCACGGAACAAGACTAAAAGTACATGAAATAATAATAGAATAATAATAATAATAATATCCTCTTTTGCATTTTTGGGATCCTCAATGACTATCAACACTTGAGATCACCAGATTCAGATAATACACTGTAGATATTTTTTTTTTTTTTGGCAGGGAATGAAGAAGCTCGGGCAGCTGTTGCAAAATATTACAGTACAGATACTTCACCTTTAACCTCTAAGGTTAGTCGCTGTGTTCATAATAAAATTATGTTCTTATCTACGGTACACATTTTACATGGAATCTATGGAATGTAACATTGCAAGGGTCTCTGTTTGGATAATACAGTGTTCATACCATACATTACAACAATAATAATTTAATATCATTAATTGGTTCTAGAGGTAACCATATAATAACCTAACCTGCATTTAAACTAAACGTTTTGCATGTATTAAGTTAAATTACAACATTGTAATTTATTTGTATGGAAATCAAGAAAAATTTAGTAATTAATTATTAAATCATTTATTGTTTAAATGCAAATTGCTGAGCAAGAACATCATATTAGTATCTGTACTGTCTGTGATCTGCATATTAGCTGTTATCTGAAATAGCTTTGACAGCTTAACCAAGGAGATTTTCCTGAGGTATCTACCTGCTTATTTCACTACACACATTTTAATTATATTTTGAACTGCTGGGTACCATCACATTTTACTCTTTAGTGTGATTTTATGTAAGATCACCAGACGTTCTGTACAGTTTCTACCATTAGAAATAATATTGATTGAAGAAATTGCATGAAAACCAAGACTGTATATTAAAATGCTGTCATCTAATGCTAATAAAACATAAATTATGGAATAATTTTTATAATTCAAAAAGTAAATTAGCTTTAAGCTTTTTAACATGGTTATTCTAGCTTTAAGCTTTTTAATATGGTTATTTTTTTTTTTTTTTGTGGCAGGTTATATTTCATAAATTATTAATTTTTGTCATCAATATTATATTATAATCCTTTAATATATATATTTTTTTAAAAATATATTTTTAGCCCCATTTACCTAATAAACAATACATAAATTGGAGAATTGGTCAATGTTCGTTAGTTTTCCAAGTGTAAAGTTTCTATCTTTGTAAGATAAATTATTTTTTAATTGAAAAAAAATTGCCTTAAGCATCCAGTGGCGGATTCAACGGGCCCCAAGGCGCTCCTAATTTTTTCCAAATTATATTTAAAAAAATGTTAAATATATGTAATTCTAATATAATTTACGTCTGAGAGTGCTATTTCCGGAAATCTAGAAGTGCCGTAACCATAAATTTTTGTATCTTAGCCCGTACTATGGGGCTGAGGTGTCTCGACACTTTATCTGTGAAAATCCCTCCCTGGGCTCACTCTATTTCAAATTTCTGGAATCGCAGTTGACATCCTCCGACATTGTTAAGTATGCTTGCAAATATGAATTGATATAATTTTAAACATTTGTATACTTTTATTTTTAGGATGTGATTTTAACAAGTGGTTGCTCAGGAGCAATAAACATCGCCATCACGGTGTTATGTAACCCGGGCGACAACATCCTCATCCCTCGTCCTGGTTTTTTGTTGTACCGCACTGTAGGCGGCAACATCGACATCGAAACCAGGAGTTATAGGCTGTTGGTGAGTAATATTCACTTAGTTGAAAGGTCATGATTATATGTACTGGTACTCAGTATTAGGTAGTTATGATTTCAATGATGTGTAGGACAGATCTGCCGGCTTTTTACTGTCCTGAATTTTGTGTACAATATACAATTGACTAGAACCATGTTTTATAATTCAAACAAAGATGAGAGCTAAAATTATTACATGTGACGTTGCTATGTCTTAAATTTACCATTGTTGAGCCATCAAAAACTCATATGTATATTGGCACAACAAGACACTTTATTTTCTATTAACTATATCTTTTTAGTTGTAAGTCTATTGTTAATTGTAGATTCTAATTCGATTCTATATTATGTCATGATGAAAAAAAAAAGAAACAAGGACACCAGATCTCAGCCTACAAAATAGCTCAATGATAAGCATGGAAATGGTACAGTAATGGAGGGTCTTGGGCAGTTATAATCCTGATAGATGCAATATATTTTTTTCTTATAATCCTAGTCACAATCATCACCATCATCATCGTCATATACTATTATTATTTTCATCACCATCATCATCAATATTATCATCATTTTCATCATCATCACCAGCATCGTCATATTGTCATCATCATCATCATCATCATCATCATCATCATCATCATCATCATCATCATCATTACCACCATCGCCATCGTCATCGTCACCGTCATCGTCATCGTCACCATACTCATCATCATAATCATCATCATCATCACCACAACTCACCATTGTTATAACCATTATTAATACCACTACCATCATCATCATCATTATCATCATCATCACCACCTTCTTCTTCTTCTCATTGCATAATCCCCAAAGGGGCAAGCAACAACTGTACAGACTCTCAAATTCAGAAGATAGATAAATATAAATAGCATAAGAAAAATTATTTCACCACCTTCATCATAATTTTCATTATCATGGATAGGTTTGGATTTTCTGGAATGTGTTTTTGCAAGCTGTTTATAACTGTTACTGTATTTCTGAAATTGTTTTGAAATGTTATTAATATTATTTGCAAATTTCTTTCTATTTGGACACCATGAAGCCTGAGAAGAATTGGGAGGTTGATCTGAGCCATTTGGAGGAGCTAATAGATGATAAAACCAGATGTATCGTCGTTATAAATCCGTCAAATCCTTGTGGATCAGTCTATGATAAGGAGCATCTCATTCAGATTGGCAAAGGTAAGAGTAACAGCTTTTTGTATTATAAAAAGACAGTCAATGAAGTTGATGAGAAACCAAGTGGAAATGACAAAAGTATAAATCATTTTTTTTCTGTTTGAAAAGGACCATATTTTGTATATCTTTTTTAGCTACCGTATGTTCTCACTATAAGACAGCCCTTGAGTTTGAGAAGATTTTTGAACAATTTTTGTATGTCGGGCGTATAAGATGGGATCGTCAGGTGCAGGGAGTTAGTTCCTGGCTTTATACAGAAATTCTAAAACTTAAACGTGTAGAGACGTTCTACTGATTATGTGATTCTTTTTTTTTATGTAGTTGCAACCAAGCATCACCTGCCAATCTTGGCAGATGAAATCTATGCTGGTATGGTGTTTCAGGGTGAAGAATCTCCTTGCATGGCTGACATCACAGATGTGCCAATACTTAGCTGCGGTGGTACAGCCAAAAGGTATGTCAAAAATACCTCAGTCATTGTGAACATTTTTGCTGTTAAATTTGTCCAGTTCGCAGTGCAGGGGCAGAACGAGAATTTTTCAATTTGTATTTGTCAACTGTACTTTTACTGGTAAAATTGAAATAACAGTAATAATTTCTTTTCCCTGGACACTAAACAAAATACAGACCCTGCAAACTACAGGTCTAGCGCATAGAGGCTTGCATTGTGCACTCTATAAATCCATACTTCACATTTTATGACAATATTATTTCAATGACAGGCCTAGAGTAGCCTGCCCTCAGCTTACTGACAACACTGTGGGAGTGTGTGGTGCAGCGTGTAAGGTGTTGGACTTCTGATCGTGAGATCAGGAATTTGAGAATGATGCTCATTGCATTGCCTGTGTCCTTGGGCAAGGCACTTTACTTATGTTTGCCCCTATTCACCCAGGAATATAAATGGGGGAGGGATCATGCTGTTAACCTGCTCATCAGTGACCCTGCTACGAATGTTTCCAGTAAATTAATAACAGCAACTAGAATCACGATACACGATTATTTACTATTAAAAAGGAAGCTACATTGAAACCCAACATTGTAGCTCCTGTGATTCATACGAACAAACGAGCTGACAACACCGAAGCAAATGAAATATTATTTATTGTGTATTGCACATTGTTAGACCCATCCATCAAACAAAAATAGTGAATACCATAAAACAAAACCAGTTTTGGATTCTATAGCATTCACTATACATCAGAAACGGAGGAAACTTTTAGCAGATTAATTCTATTTTTGTTTTTCCTTTTTTAGGTTTCTTGCCCCAGGATGGCGAATCGGATGGCTTCTTATACACGATAGGCACAACGCATTCCAGAGTGAGGTTGGTGTATAATATACAGTATATGAGTATAAAAATGACAAAACTATTAAAATGCAATATTCTTTTTTTTAGTAATATATTTAAAAAAAATGTGTTTCCAATTAATTTTAACTTTTAACAAGATTTATAATATGACATACTGTATAATAACAAAAAAATAGTTTTTTGTTTTCAGTTGTCATTGTTTGTGTTTATGACATTAGCAGATCTTACCAAAATCAAGACATTCTTTGAAATAGTTTTAATTATTTAAATATGCATTTTTGTTGATTACTACTCTGACAGTTGTACTATTATGAATCATTATGTAATAATAATTGGTAAATGAATATTATGCTCTACCCACACTATCAAATTATAAGTGACAAATTTATGTTGGGTGCCTAAATATGGGCATGATGATGTCATATTACACCCAAATATGGGCTTATCCCATTTGTATTTGTCACATAAAATTTGAGCTGTGAGGGCAATAATGAATTGAATCATTATTTTGATATAAAGATAAATAAAATATATTAATCTATTTGCTTTGATTTTAAAACATTTTTGCAAGTTTATTAAGCATACATGGCAGTATAATATATTTTTAAATTAGGTTTTTATCTTTGTTCTGTTTCTGATGACTACAATATGCAGTGGCAAATTCAAGGTTGGCCCAGTCGCTCGGCCCCTGAAATTGTCAAAATCACAAAAAAAAAAGGGAGAAAAAAATGAAAATTATATTTATATTTGAGTGTGCCATTTCTGGACATCTAGAGGTGCCATAAGGCCTAAAAAAAATTGTTATGTTAGCGTAACCCGACAGACCCTAAAAATTCAGCCGACCCTAAACATTTTTTTTAAAATTTGCGATACAAGTTTATAAAATTTAACAACATAAAAAAACAATGCAAAAATTTGCTAATTATAATATGTTAAAAATACATAGGCCTATAATTTTCTCCCTGGCGAATTGTGGTTTTCCACCCCAACGTGGGTGGGGGAGTGCCCAGGCCCCCAATGTGTCCCCAGCTTCCTCTGGGAGGGGAATTATTGATGTTCGAATAACCAGCAACAAACGAAGGAACAGCAAAATAGCAGGAGGCCTGGGGATACCCTGCACATTAACTTGTTCCTCTACAAATAAGGAACTTATTGACCATTTAAAGCAGCTTGTTTAGGTAATTTTTGATTTTACAATTCACCTCTAGTAAAAATTCAACCTCTAATATACGCCCCCCCCCCCCTTGAAAAAATGCAACGCCCCTGGGGCGTTTATTAGAGACAATACGGTACCTACCTTATTTTTGGGGCCTGTTATGTCAACGTAACATTTTTTTAAGCCTAATCATAAATTTTCTTGCCTCGGCTCCAACCATGGTGGGGCTGAGGTGGTGTAGACCCCTCATCTGTGAAAGTCCCTCCCTTTTCTCCCCCCCCTCTATTACTGCATCTGCCCTCATATGTTTTATTTTCAATGTGTATTAATTTTTTTTACATTTTAAACAATGTTTCTTCATTTTTAGGTGCGTGAAGGTCTTTTTCACCTTACCACTAAACTTCTTGGACCATGCTCTATCATGGAGGCAGCATTACCTGGTGTGCTCAAGAACACACCAAAACACTTTTTTGACAAAACTTTGAAAATTTTGAAGGTGAGAGCATCTTCAGAATTGATTTCTTATTCATTACTTCCACCAATGAGGTTATAATGTATTTACTGCTGTCTTTCTGTCTGTCTGTTAGCATGATTACGCAAAAAACTAATGAATTGATCATAAAATTTAGTGGAATGGTACATAATAATCAAAGAAAGAAACTATTCAATTTTTGGGAAAAAAGGTCAAAGTACACAGTCAAGGTCACGGAAATTTGATTTTTACCCTCAAGCATGAAAGAAAATATTGGAATCGCCTCTGGCAGTACTCAAGAAAACAATGTGCCTGAATACGATGGGCGATTCCATTATTGCATTGAGGGTATGCTGCAGTTTCACCTATCATACTAATACTATGTATTGTTGGTGCTGTATTCAGGCACAGGGCAGAGGTGCACTTTATGGAGTGACTGCTCTAGCTATTTTTATGTCCTACCATTTATAAGAATAAAAATGACAACCATATCATCGTCCCTATTATTCTAATTAAATGACCTGTGATTATAAGTCATCTTTTTTATTGTCTTCAGTTGTTATTATCCTATTTTTTAAAATCATTGTTCATCATAATCATCATCGTCGATCATTGACCATCATCATCATCTTCAGTATGGCGAGACTTTCTTTAATCCTTGTTTCGCGTATTTATTTTTTTGAAGATCATCAGAGGAGGGTGGAATAAAAATAAAAACTTTATGCTCAGTTTTAATATTAGGGCTACTTTTTACAGATGATCGGTGCTGGGCCACAAAAAACAGGGTGTTTTCTAGCCAAAGATTGTTGGCGGGCCACACACATAGGGATTGTAATTCATTTTATCGGGCCGCAAAAAAATCACTAGCAGGCCCCATGTAGCCCTGCAGACTGCACCTAATACAGCAATTTATCTTTTTAGTACTATTTAAGTATCAGTTTGTATCGCACCAATGTCGATGGAGCAATAAAGAAAGTTACCACATAACAAGTCCCCATTGAAAAGTTTGAACATAGGCAATTACTCATAGTTACCAACTTCAGAGATTTGAAATGCGTGACTATACCAGTTGAATTGGGGGTGGGAGACTGCAAGGGCCCTGCTGGGGTCATGGGGTGGATCCCCGGTGGGGTCCCAGGCTTTTGCGCTCCGAAGATCTGTGCATTTTTAACCTTTATCACTTTAAAATGTGTAACCCTCCCACACTATGCCAGATGGTTGGTAACTATGATTACTTCAAACAATCATGCAATCATTATGATTATGCACATTATTAGAATTAATGATTTAGGGCAGCAAACATACTTATCTCACCACTGGCCACAAAAAACAGGGTGTTTTCTAGCCAAAGATTGTTGGCGGGCCACACACATAGGGATTGTAATTCATTTTATCGGGCCGCAAAAAAATCACTAGCAGGCCCCATGTAGCCCTGCAGACTGCACCTAATACAGCAATTTATCTTTTTAGTACTATTTAAGTATCAGTTTGTATCGCACCAATGTCGATGGAGCAATAAAGAAAGTTACCACATAACAAGTCCCCATTGAAAAGTTTGAACATAGGCAATTACTCATAGTTACCAACTTCAGAGATTTGAAATGCGTGACTATACCAGTTGGATTGGGGGTGGGGTGGGAGACTGCAAGGGCCCCACTGGGGTCAAGGGGTGGATCCCCGGTGGGGTCCCAGGCTTTTGCGCTCCGAAGATCTGTGCATTTTTAACCTGTTTTAAAACGATTTCAAGGAGTGTTTGTTGACAATACCGAGACATAAACAAAAATATTTTAATTTAAATCACGTATAATTTTAGTTTTCTCTTAGAATTGATTCTCAAATGAGAAAAACAAAAGCTCCCTAATGACTCTAGTTAGTGCATGACTGTTTTTATATTTTTAATAAAACCAATTCTCAAAATTTAAATACATTTACCCCTGATTCTATGATAATTCATGCTAAATTAATGCGTGACAAATTGTGTGCTTCATCCAAAATCACTTTAAAATGTGTAACCCTCCCGCACTATGCCAGATGGTTGGTAACTATGATTACTTCAAACAATCATGCAATCATTATGATTATGCACATTATTAGAATTAATGATTTAGGGCAGCAAACATATTTATCTCAACATTCGTAGATATTGCTCAACCACGCTGACTTTTTATACCTCCTTGCTTACACTTTCTTTTTTCGTTTTTTTTTTTTTTTAATGCAGCAAAATGCAGATGCATTGTATTCAGGCTTCATAAAAATTCCAGGTATTACTCCAATAATGCCTAAAGGTGCAATGTATATGATGGTAAGTTTTACTTTCATTATGTATTTATCCGAGCTTTCATGATCTTGGAAACCTAGCAAAATGTCAAAATTTGTTTTTTTTTTATTGGTCAATAAATTTGGTTTTACCGTACTCTGAATATCTGTTTCAAATCTAATGAATTTGTGGCTCAGTCGTTAGAAAAATATATTTCCAATATCAAGGTTGGGTCCATTGCAAGATTCTAAGAATTTTCAAAATTCTAGGATCAAGCATATAGTCGAAGCTATCTTGGTACCACAGCCATAACAATGTCTTACCTTATTCCCACAATGATGGGGCTGTTGTCTGGACCTTTTTTTTTTCTTTTTATGAAAGTCTCTCCCTTGGCGCTCCCTGTATTTAAAATTTTTACTGCCTCTCTCTACCCAGAAGTCAAATGTTGTAACTATACTAGGTTAGGTGGTAAGGTAGTAGGTGTGTGTAATGCATGGCTTCATTGAAACACTTCAAGAGTTTGAAAAGATTTAACTTTGAAACTGATTCCTGTGAATTTTAACTTGAAGTTCAGTGGATGATACTCAAAGATTTGACTGGAGGTCAAATCAGTCAAAGAAAAGGAGGACTCTAGGACTTTTTGCAATGGATTCCATTTTCAAAATTTTTATATTACATCACTTTGTTCTTGGAGTCACATATTGATACATTATTGTAGAATTGAATGTTTCAAACTGGATCGTAATAATTTATGTTTATTATTCTACCAATTTTCTGATTTTCCTTGTGTGACTAATTACGAGTGAGGGATATCAAAATTATGAATCAATCAATTAAATGAGTCAAATAATTATTAACTATAAATATTGTTTTTTTAGATAGCAGTTTATCAACTTAATTATTTAATATAATAAGAATAATGGTCGAGCGCATATTGTAACGGTAAAGGTAGGAGAATAACCCATAAATTGCAGCGTCATTGTGCTGAATTGCGTATGGGCGTGGTGCATGACTACCTAGCAGCCGTAAAGGGGCGCTTCTTGATAGATATATGTTCACATCATTCCACAATGACAGGGGCTGAAATGAACCATAACATCGGGGTAGCCCCCTACTCTTCGGAAAGATGCAATGGGTTCTTTAAAGTGCACACGAGCCAGATGTATACAAGTCCTTATCCGAGAAGACTCGGTTCTACCAACCGAACCATGGGCGAGGAGCGGCTGGAACCAGCGCTGATGTTGAGGCTGCAGCTAGCGCCACCCCTGCCTCGGCCACTCGACTCGCCTCAGAGACCTTGTAGAGACCTCTATGTGATTAACATTATTACCCCCGGTCATTGAATCAAGCACATATGGAATATATACTCAGGTCCCTGGGGGGAATTCCATATTGCTGCAGCTGTAATCAGTGCGTTTTTGTGTTTGAACCCCCTTGTACTTCTGGGCAGAGAGCGACAACAGTAGGTAAAGTGCCTTTTGTCTAAGTGCACAAGTAAAATACACAGTGAGAAATTGAACCTCAAGGTTGAGAAACAAATTTCTACTGCAAAAACCAATCCATTGCTTTTCAATATTACTGTTTCTAACCAACCAATGTTTAATTTTCTATTTTTGATATTCTGTATAATATTGATTTGACTGGAACATTGTAAAATGTATAAAAACATGAAAAGTGATGTATTGATTATTGTAAACTTTAAATTATAATTAATTGCTGTTTTCCTGTTTACAGAGTAGTATTGAGGTGGAGCACATGCCAAATATCAAGGATGACATGGATTTTGTGCAGAAATTGATGGCACATCTAGATGTGTATAAGAGACAGCACACATAGGGATTGTAATTCATTTTATCGGGCCGCAAAAAAATCACTAGCAGGCCCCATGTAGCCCTGCAGACTGCACCTAATACAGCAATTTATCTTTTTAGTACTATTTAAGTATCAGTTTGTATCGCACCAATGTCGATGGAGCAATAAAGAAAGTTACCACAGAACAAGTCCCCATTGAAAAGTTTGAACATAGGCAATTACTCATAGTTACCAACTTCAGAGATTTGAAATGCGTGACTATACCAGTTGAATTGGGGGTGGGAGACTGCAAGGGCCCTGCTGGGGTCATGGGGTGGATCCCGTAATATGATATGGGACTTGTGGCAAGTCTAATCTTAACACTAAGCAGTGTCTTGGCATTCAGAGTTGAAGTCCTCTTAATGTAAAATCAAACGTCAGTCCTAATTAACAAACAGAATAATAGTGCATCTACTTATTACTATTATAATTATTACTGTTATTATTTATATTTCTTACTATATTAGTATTATTCTCTTTTTTTTTCATTTATTTAAACATAGGAATATCATTATTATTACTATTTATTATTATTGTTATTTGATAATAATGATAGTAATTAGATATTAATACTTTACTAAGAACACCTAATTATTATTAGTTATTATTTTTATGACTATCAATGCAAATGAAAAATGCAAAAACATTGTTGACATCGTATTGGGTTTACCATTGTATTATATCTTATATATGATATTTATCTTGTAGTCCAGATGTAAAAGATTTATATGTGTAGATTTGAAGTTCATATTGTATTTGACATGGAATTTGGTATCTTCTTTTTAGTACAAGACAGATACTCAGCAATTAGAATGTTGCTTAAAAGTATGTTTCCTATTTTAAAGATACCATTTTAGTATTAATGTGTATTGTCCCATGAAAAATCGCAGAAAAAAAGCAGTGAAAATATTTTTAATTTATGCCTGTGTTCGACTAGTTGTTTTTCGTTAAACCATGGCCACCTGCGCAGTGGCAAAATCCTACATAACAAAGACAACCAGTTGAATAGAAAACTGGTAAATACTCAAAAAAAGAGGAAAAAATGGCTGCATAGTTACCATGATACACGCTGCCTAATCAAGGTTGGTTTGGCTTGAGGCAGTATGGGTTTTTTCGTAAAAAAAAAAATGTTTTCATCCAATTTTTTAATTCTGTTACCCTACAATTATTTTTTGACTTCATGTGGGTAAATATTATAATTTTATTTTCTAAAATTTCAATAAACTAAATTATATTAACGTAAAATGTAAAAAATATGATATTAATAATCATAACTCTAAATCTAATGACTGTTGTTCATAGTCCAGTAATGATTATCATTTTAGTAGTACTAGTTTTCCGAATAGTAAAACTACTCACTGGTTAAACCCAGTTCTAGCGCATCATAGAGCATTTATACCTCAATGTTAATCTAATATTATGAACAGTAAATTGATAAACAGTAGCAATCAACATTGAATTATAATAGTTTAGAAAATGAGCCATTGTAATTAAAATACTTTACTTAATAGATAAAAAAAAGGCAAAATTTATAGTGTAATAGTAACCTACGTGGCTTAGGGTGTCATAGCAGGCATGTAACTCTGCGGGTGGTAGGTTCTATTCCTGTTGAACTACTTGCCTTTCTGAGAAGGGTTTTGACATTTCCAGGGTGACATCATATAGGATATAAATAAATAGGATGTTGGGCAACGTTTCCTAGTGTTATTTCCTGTAATATATTATTATTTGAAAATTTATTGGTTTCAGAAGTTTATTTAATCGATTATTTAAAAATATATATATTTTTTCTCCCTGACGAAAGGGGAGGGGGTTTTGTGGGCAGTTCTTGCTGACGTGTGCCCTGTTCCTTTGGTGTGCTTTTGGCTGTGCTGTGCCATGTATGTTGATATGAAAGTGGGTTTTTGGTGGGCAGTGTGGAAGGGGGTAGGAGTGTAGTTATGTGTATATTTGTGTTGTGAGATGTGCATTTAATGCAATTTTGATATAGTGTTTTTAAGTAATATTTAAGTTAACTGAAAATCTACATTATTTTTCAGGTCGAAAGTTTAGAAATACTGTAATTCTATTTAAAATTCTTAGAAATACTGGGTTTGCCATATTGTTAAAATTCCAAGGTTTTGCAATACTTAAGTTATTACATATAGGGTTTTCGATTAATATTATGATTAGTGAAGCTAGAGATAAGTATCATTGTGTGGAAATGTATCATTCTTGCCCTACTCGGACAGTAACTGCAACTTATGATATTATTAATATCTTCACTTGAATTTGAGATGATGTATTTAGTACTGTAGGTCAGTGTTATATGATAACAATTTTATTTAAAATGTTTCTTTATAGCTTATGGGCAATCTCCACTACTATTATTATCATATTTTAATTTCGTTGTTTTAACCTGAAATAGGGGAATTGGTTTACATTCCCCTATTTCAATCCCCGATTTTCGTCATTTAAGATTGGAATCGATGGTGTATTGTTTTTTTAAAAGGCTAGCTAAGATGCTTGTTGAGAGTGTCCAGGAAATGAGAAATATGTTAAAGTATAAGAATGTAAAAGAATTATTAGATTGGAAAACTACCAGCATTAAGAACAGTACATGTTGCTTTAGCGATTTTAGTTAATACGGTGTGAATAAGTGAGAGTTTCAATGATTGAGTGAGTATTACATACAGAATTTATTGTAAGTGAAATAAAACCGTTGTAGGCAATCTGGAAATATGCATTGCAGTTTATGTTCAAGCCTGTTAAGTTGTTTCAAACTATAACTAAAGTTCAACATACCAAAATGTTACCATTATTATTTTGCAGTCGTCGACACATCAGGCTCTTCCTTACTGTCGGTCAAATAACATCAGGCTATGCACTGTTCATGACACTATCCCTCATTCCCTGATGACGAATAGAGCATTCGAAAGGTTGAGATACTTTTAAAACTTCGAATTTCAACTGATTTATCTGTCATTTTATCCCCATGTCCTATGGACAGTCTGGACGTTGACGTCACGATTTAAATTTTAACAACAGTTATAAACATGAGATTTGTTTTCGGAATATAGTGTGGTGGGTATAAGCCACTGATTGCTCATTGGCTGGTTTTAGAGCATTTACCTGCGCCATGTTAGGGAACCCATTACTTTACGAATACGTCATCACAAAGGAAAACTTCAGAAACAGGCGCACACGAGTGTGGAAAAAAAACCCCCCAAAACATAATTTTATTTTATTAATAAGTATTACAAGAATCGTTATTTTTAAAAATAATTTGAATATATGCAATAACATAATTGACTAGATTGGTACGTCAGTGGGCTCTTGCATATGGCATTGGTGGCTTCACTGTTGACAAATTGATTGGACACAAGATGGACAGGACAGAACGTTTAATTGAGGTTTCAAAACCCAGAAATTTAGAAACAGCGCTAATTAAAGGGTTTTGAAGTTTGAAATGATCATATAGTGCTAGACCACATTGAAAGCTGTTGCCAACAAATAATCCAACCCTATAAATCTTGCATTACATAAATTATACAAAATTTGCCTATTTCAGGCCCGTACGTAGGATTTTTATTTGGTGGGTCGGAATTTGAGGAAAGTTTACCAAACTGCGGGAGGGGATAAGACATAGCCCTTCTAAAGTCGAGTGGGCGGAGCCACCTCGCTCTCAGACATTCTTGATATTTTGAGGTCATAATAGATTTTGATGCGGTATGAACCGAGTATTAAACGTTTTTCTTCTGTGGCAGTCCAGAAAATGAGGGTGCCAGGGAAGAGGTTTCAGAGATGGAGGGTCGATATTACCTCAGCCCCACCTGGCTATATATATATAGAAATTACAAATAAAAAATAATTACAAGCGGTCTACGTCGTGGATGAGATGGGTAGACGTCAAATTAATAATAAAATCGAGAATTCATGAAATTAGCCTATGTACTGAGCTGATTGGGAACAGGTTAGGGAAAGCAATAAATCCCTTTGTTGTTTTGAAGCAAATACGTCCACCATTCCACCGGGGTCCAGGGAGAGACCGTCACAGAAATAGAGGCCCGGGCCTACCCACCTCAGCCGGCCCCACTATGGTTGGGGTTGAGGGAAAAAAATTATGATATGGTACATATAGATGGCCGGAAATGGAGCTCCCAGACTTAAATTTCATTGTACATTACTGTATTTTTTTTTCTTTATTTTCTTTATAAATTTCAAAAACTTGTAGGGGCCCGGGTCGGCTTAGCCCCCTCGAATCCACTATTGGGGGTCTATAACACCTCAGCCCCACCATGGCTGAGGTAAGTACATTTATGATTATGGCACCCCTAGACCGGAAATGGCACTCGCAGACTTAAACGAGAATAAAGATAATTCTAAGTGAAACCTATAGAAAGAGAAGAGAGTTTTGTACTGCACGTGGCGAGTTATTGACACGCAAAAGCGGTGGGGAAAAAACACTCAAGTTCCTCAAAAAGCTCATAAATACAGTTAAGAGTTGTTGCTTGTACGACAAATTAGAGGCGGTCCTAGTTCCAATCGGTATCCGACTAGTTTGTCGAAATCTAGTTTGTCGAAACCCGGTTTGCCAAGTTTGTGGCCACTTTGCTGAAACCCAGTTTGCCGAATCCAGTTCACCGAAAACGTAAGAACCCAGTTTCCCGAAACCCGGTTTGCCGAAACCCAGTTTGCCGAATTTTGTCGTTACTGTGTTACAAAAGCGTACACTGTGCTTTTGAAAAATGATGGTGGGTCAGGGAGAAGCCGTATTTAATATATAAATTAAAAGACAATATATGGAAAACAACAATTCTACGTGAAAAAACAGTAAATATAACAATAACATTCAAGCACATACAATTAACATTTAATTATACAAATTTATTAAACCTGTTATTATTATTGAAGCTCATTCGCACGTGCCATCGATAGCGCGAGCGAGAAAGGGAGGCATCCCCTCCGTGGGACAAGCCTGGACCCTTCCGCGCCCCTGACGCAACGACGAGGTCGTCAGCCTAACAATTTGCCTATCTATAATTGAATTTTGATTGTCAATCCAAAATACTGTGGCCTAAAACAGCTGATAGGCGTATTTAATAAATGTTTTGCTGATAGCCAAATTGTTAATCAAGTTTGATTAATGAAATAGGACAAAAAGAGTCATTGAACTATGTCAATAAGCCAGTGTTTACTTCACGAATACACAGTGATAGCTTAGTGTGTTGGAATGCCTTCACTTGGCATCTGAATTCTTAATGTCGCAAGTATGGCCTCCTTCGTACAGATGCTGTCATAGTAAGAGTAAGTAATATAGTGCTCCATCGTGAATTTTATGCTGCTGTTAACGTTTCGCTACTTTTAATTGACTTTCGGCACACTGGGTTCGGCAAACTGGGATTCTGCAAACTGGGATTCTGCAAAGTGGTCTCGGAAATCTGGCATTCGGCAAACTGGACTTTGAAAATCTGGCCTAGATCCGTTAAAACTGGAATGATACACTTTTAGATTTGACTGGTACGCCATGATGTCTGGAGGTATAGTTAAGGTTTCTAAATTAGACCCATTTTATTCTCCTCTTAATTTCCTCTGGTGTCCTGCTACTGAGAGTGATTTTGATTTCTGAGATGGATATTTATCAACTACTTCAAAATGATGGTCTCCTACTGTCAAATGTCTTTTTATAGCCGTTGTCTTCCCTAAATGCACATGTAAGCCAACTTTTCTACTTCTTTTAAAAGCTTATACCCTGTAGCATACTATTCTTTTTTATGTCATGGCTGATAAGTACAAAATTCACCTTATTACTTTTATTTAGAAAACACTATTAAATTTCATTTAAAAAATCGTCACATAAAATGTGATGAAACATATAGTTGAACACGTTCTACTTTTTTTTATTATACAATTTGATATGTGATATAACGTCATCGTACCCATATATTGGCACATCATTTTTTTTGTCACATAAAATTTGATAGACAAAGTTTAAAATTATAAATAAAATAAATTGAAGTAATATTCTGGCTTAAAATTAAGTTTTGTGTGTGTGTGTGTGGATAATGTTTCTGCCTGTATAACATTTTTTGAATGTGTTCAGAAAATACTGATGAATACAATTTTAGTATAAGATAACAACGCAATGATGCTCATCGACATTCAACAAACCTCCACACAACATTAATTGTTTTCAGTCTAGCTGCTTTGTGAAACAAACTCTAATGATTTTTTATTGTCTGCATTAATTTTGTTGTCGGATAAACGCGCTATCGGCAAAAGTACCTGTCAGAGAAATGCCCTTCTGTTGGTGAATGAGCTTCTGCCGGGTAAAATTTTGTCGACAAAGTCAAAGACACATACCATACATATTTACAATTCATAAAATTATAATTATAAACATTGTAGGCAAATTGGCTGTCCGCGAATTGACTGTTGGCAAATTGGATGTGGGCGAATTGGCTGTCGGCGAATTGTTTGTAGGAAAATTGGCTGTCGGATCGGCGAAATGTCTTTTCGGCGAAAGGTCATTTGGCCAACTGTCTGCTGGCAAAACGTTTGTCAGCGCAAAATCATCATTCGGTGAAACATCCCGTCACGCCATTCTACGAGGCCAAGTCGAGATGAATGAATCAATCCCTCGATCTCTCCATTAATAAAGGCATTCTTTTCAATACATTTTATGATTTTTGGACTGATATGGAATTTTGAAATGTTTCCATCATGAAGACAAATAAACAAATAGGGCCCAAGTAATAGCCTAACGCCATAGTTGAGAGTTGTGAATGACAGCTGTTCATTTGTTTGGAAGATCAATAGTTTTTTGTTTTTTTTTGTTTTTTTTTTGTTTTTTGTTTTTTTGCACTTTTCTAAAATAGGGTGTAATTTTTAAGTTAAATCTCTTTCTGTGTCTCATTGTCAGATATGTTGTTTGCTTCAAACTTCAGACAGAGTCTAGGAGCAGCGACCGTAAAAGAGCGCTCACCACCTTATAAATATGAGTAGAACGTGTGGAAGATCTAGAGGTGGATCGAAGTGAACGAATTTCAGAAGTTCAATTTAATTCATTAGTAATAGTTTACTCTTACCAGCTTACACTTCCCGAAAATAAAAGTTAAAAATCAACACCCCTTTATTAAAAAAGTGCGAGTTTTATATGCTACTGAAATATTTTCTGTGCAATACAAATAAAATAACAACAATATTGCCCAGTCATTTTAAAAATTTATATGACTTTAATTCATATAAGACATCTACCCCCCCCCCCCCCCCCCCCCCCAAACTTCAGACATTTTTCATCAGTTGAAAAAAGTTATCTTGAAAATCCAGACATTGTTTTGTTATACAAACAATTACAGCACAGTACAAAATTCTCTAAAACAGGTTTAAAATTGGAATTAATCAAATGTTATATATAATAATTAGACTAATATTTTGCGAATCATTGGATTTTTAAAGTTAATTTTTTTTTAACCCAATCTAGCGAATTTTCATTTTCCTCGGTGATCTTGCTGCTTGCTATTCGCTGCTTATCGGCAGAGGAATTTCATTACTTCTACTTCATAGACTTGTTACATCACACTCTGTGCAGTAAAATCATGTTGGGATCCATGGTTTAAGTAAGACGGGTATAGCCCACTCTATTATCTTAGGTTAAATCAATGTACATATACATAAATATAAATGTGTATATACATATGTATATGTATATATGTATACGTATAATATGTATATATATATAGGCCTATATATATACATATATACATAACATATACAATGCATATATACATATTATACACATACACACACACACATACCTATATACATACATATGCCTAACTAGATCATAATTGAATGTAAGACCAGTTCAGACTATCAACTTTTATTTCACAAAAAACTGTTGCATGACCATAGCCATGATGTACCTAATATGGTCATAATGTGATGTCATCATGACCAATTTAGGCATATCGAATGTTTTGTCAAATAAAAGTGACAGTCTGGACATGGCTTGCGGTTATATTGCTATAGTAACAGGCAATTCTTTGAATTTATTCACTAATATCACTATTTTGTCAGGCCTATATTGGTCTACGTTTTAAAATATATTCTTAACATTTCAAAGAAATTAATGTTTAATAGTGTATAAAATACAATATTGAACTTCCCAGTATTTACAATATTGTAAGATATTACGTTAACTATCTAGTTCTAGTTTGAAGTTTAACGGTTGTATAGATCCCAAACTACAAAAATACTGTTCATAAATTTAAGACTAAGTATATAAATATGGAAATAAAACTAAGCAACATCACAAAATACACTTTTCAAGTATGATTAGATTTGCAAATAATTGATAGTTTGTAAAATCGAAAACATCTCTCCTATTTTAAGGTATATGCAATAGTATGTTTACCGAATTTGCCTACTTTTCTCCAAAGGCACAACGATTATTATGCAAAATGCAAGAGTATTAACAAAACATTTTTTTTGTTACTTTCAGTCCGCTTCTACAGTATTTATACAAGGGTTTAAAAAGGTGCTTTGTAGAATCCATATCTATGTAGGCCTCTGCCCTGGCGCAATCCCGGTCCCCACCTAGGTGGAGCGAACCACAGACACGACTGGGTGCCCAGAGTCTGTGACCACGATAGACAATGTTTAAGTTTATATGATAAATAACACATTATGTGTTATTGCACGCAATCTATAGGTTAGACCTACCAACGAATTAGCTGTCCGGTTTACAGTACCTGTCTCTTATACACATCTAGATGTGTATAAGAGACAGTTACAGAGTACATTGTCATTAGATGAGGGTCCTCCTGGGTAATTACTGTTTTCTCTTATAAGAGATTTTTTTCTTTTATTTTTTAATAAACTAAATTCTTGTCTGCTGTGTATCGATGTCGACGTGCTACTTGTTCGAGGCCGGTATCCATTCTGTGTGCTGTGAGAATCAGGCCTAGTTTCACCTTCATTTTCAACGACAAAAGAAGTATTTCCCATTTTTCTAGTAACTTTGTTATTGACTTTGTTCAGCTGATGGCTCGTGGTGTCTGACCAAGGAGCGCATTTCTGTGATGTTGGTGACAGTTCTGAAATGGAGGTCCTTGCTGCAGAAGCGGCAAACCCGTATCTGACTTTTTTAGACTCTGCGTTAAACTCAACCGGCGTAGGAATCGACCCGCGTTGCGGACTATACGTGTAACGCCGCTTACAGCAGGAGTAGCATATGCAGAACAGTACGCAAACTATTAACAATAATACCAATACGACAGCTGCTGCAACGACCACTACGAGTGTGTCTGTTGAAAGGTCTTCTAGCCATGCTATAATTTCATTTCTGTCCGGTTCCATTGTGGTTATTGTAGCTGAAATATAAACACAATGCATAAAGTCATCAATACGCTAAAAATTCAAGCAAAACAATGTATGATCTAGATAGAAACTAGAGATGCTATGTTCAATAGAACATGAACCCAGTCATTTTTCAGGATTTGACTTTAAGGTGACCACTGTACATGTACCTTTGACCTCAAGCTGTGAACACCCCATGTTTGGTAGCATTCTAATGCAATTGGTCCAATCGTTAGTCACTAGCAATATTTTATAATTTTCACCAAAATGACCCTTGTGACTTTTGACCTATAGACAAAGAGTTTTTTTTTTTTTTTTTTTTTCATGTTTAGAAGGTCCTAAGGATCATTCCGGGTAAATTCAAGCTCATTTGGGCAATTTTGAAAATTTGACTCCTATGTAACCCCTGATCCCAGACTGGGGTGTAAGAGGATTTCCGTTCAATCGTTTGCCATTAGTAACATTTGAATCTTTGACCTATAAGGTGAAGTGTATTTGTTCGTGTTTAGAAGGTCCTAAGAATCATTCCTGGTAAATTTGAGCTCAATTGGGCTATTTCGAAAATTTAACCCCGATGACTATGTAACCCCTAATCGCAGACTGGGGTGTAGGAGGTTTTGCTGGTTCTTAATTACCAAATATGATTGAGTTTGGTCCAATCGTTTGCCATTAGAAGCATTTTGAAATAATACCAGATAAAACAAAAGAATAACCATTGAACCTAAATCGCTGAACACCATTATAGAGACCCTACCTTATGCTAACACATGTGCCCAGGACAAGACTGTGTATTTGTGACAGAAGAAGTCTTTTATTCATTTTTTATTTTATTTTTTACCCTAATGACCCCATATGACCTTCGACCCCAAGTAGTGAACACCCCATGTATGAGAGGTGTCACCGGTTATACTGACCAGGTTTGGTTGAAATCGGCACAACCGTTTGGCACTAAGAGCATTTTAAAATGTTGCCAGAAAAAAGATAAAAATTACCCCTTAATGACCTTTGACCTTTTATCCCTGAACACCCTGTAGAGTCTGCCTTATGCCAATGTATATGTGCAAAGATAGAAATGTAGGTATGTACAAGACTGTGCTACCTTATTTGTGAGAGTAGTCTTTTATACGATTTTTTATTTTTTCCCTAATGCCCCTTATGTGACCTTTATTGACCCCAGGTTGTGAACAAAACATAAATGGGAGGTGGCACAGGTCCTACCGACCAAGTTTTAATTAAATCGGTCCAGTAGTTTGCCACTAGTAACCTTTTAAAATGTTGCCAGAAAGAAAGAAAGAATATACTGCTGATTCGGTAAAGAAGAAACTGCTCAACAACATAACCCAGTCAGCATGCTGCTGACTGGGTAAGAAACTGCTAAGAAACAGAACCCAGTCAGCATGCTGCTGACTGGGTAACAATTAATAGTGATTTAGTTGATATCTGTGCTAGATAAAATACATTATGTGTTTCAATGGAAGTATTATATTGTTTAATGTGAAGATAGATCAATGTTCCGTGACATTCTAACACCAACAGCTGCAGTGGATCAAGTCCAATAAGGGAGTTAGACTTGTTATCACTATAAAATACACATACTTATTTGGATATGGTTGTAAAGATACCAGTCCTTGAAGAAAAAAAATATATTAGAATGATGCATGGCTGAGGGGTTAGAGGATGGTCTTAAATACATAGAAAAGGCGCAATTCGGAGAAAACCTCATAGTTTAAAGATGGTATGAACTTGACAGAATGAAATTCCACGGTACCATTGTGGCTGCGACGTAATGAAGACATTGCATGCAGTGGCGGATCCAGGGGGGGTCGGGGGGGGGGGGCAAAGGGGTTCGGACACTAACCCCCCTCTGGGAGGAAACGTAACAAAATACTACTGGGTCCCTACCTAGGCATAGGTTGGCAGATCAGACAAACTAGGCTTAGCCCAACTAGCATTCAAATAAATGCAATTAAAACACTGGTTTTGGCTCGACGTCGTAATAATTTATGTACAAAAGTGTGG